TTAAAAATCAGACAATGTGATTTTCTTGGATTTTTTTTCCCCATTTTGTCTCTCATAGTTGAGGTATACCTATGATGAAAATTACAGGCCTCTCTCATCTTTTTAAGTGGGAGAACTTGCACAATTGGTGGCTGACTAAATACTTTTTTGCCCCACTGTATATAGGATTAGAGTTGTTTTATACTGAAATCTTGAGTTCAGGGAACAAAAGATTTTTTCTCTCTTATCAACTAAACCTAGGGAAGAAAGAGAAAATCATTCAGTCGTATCCATTCAATTAGCTGTGCTTGAAACTGAGAAACCAGAAGTGTTTTCTTGAGTCTGCATTATCAGCCTAAAATTTATCTAGTCCTATTATATTGTACTATCTATATAGCATGAGACATAATTCTTGATTACCACTCCCACCCTTCTCCAATCTAATCCTCAGTTTCAAGGCACATATTATGACCTGTTCAAACTCCTATCCCTTCTTTTTGCCTCTATTCCCCTCAGCTAGTAAGTATCACGTGGTTAGTGTTTGATGACTGATTTGAGGTATATGTTCTTTTTCCTCCAGTAAGTATTGTTAGGTGCTGTTCTTGATCCTTCATTCTTCTACCCACTTCTATCACTTATGGGTCTTATCACCACTAAAGTTCCAGGATGGTTGGCTTTTATTCCCTGCTAATTGATGGGGGTGGAGAGAAGCTCTACTTTGAACATGTGCTTGATCATTTCATAGCTATTTTATAGTTGTTAAACATATGTTCTTTATCCATATACACAGATAGCAATTTGACAGCATATGTTGACTTCCCCCCCAACCTTAATAGATACATGCAGAGGCACCTTGGTTATTCACACGTCCTTTGATATTTCTGTCTCTCCCTATCACACATAAACACTTTGTGTCCTTCACAGAGTAACACAGACCTGTTTTAGTTGGGTATTCTCTTCTTTCAGTTTCATTACATGTTTGATCTTCTGCTTCTGATTCTGATGGCCCAGCAACTTAGCATAAGCATCACTAATTTTGTTCAGTTCTTCTTGGGTTGCACCATGCTCATTTAAGAGGACATTTCTCTCTGCCTCATATGCATCTAGCTGTTGCTGAAATGCAAAGGATAATATATGTGGAATTATGATGATCAGCAAATCTCAACTGATCTCCATGTTTGACTCAACAGATTCCACAAAATAGGAGGAGGTGATCTCCTTCTCAGTTGTGCCATCTCCCACACTATTCAGAAGGGTCCCCCAATCCTAGTTTAGTACAATTCCCAATGACATAGAGAGAAGAATTGCTTTCCTGCCCATGTTTGTGATGGATCAAAAAATCTTCCACCATCAGAATATACCTCTTTTTAAAAAAAATAATAATAACCAATTCACTGTAGTAACCATCCATGAATACAGGGTATTTGTAGTGTTAGAACAAGGGGAGCATCCAAGAAATAGTCAAAATTCCAGCTTGATTTTGGGGTTCAAATGTAATAAGCTATTAAAAGCTGCCAAAAACCCATCAATGCTTAATAAAGACTAACCTGAAAAGGCTTTACTTTATTATATAGGTCTTCATAGAGGACACGCCAAGTTTTTATATTCTCTTTGTAATCTACTCCAATTTTTTCTGTAATGGTTTTCCTAAAGATTAAAAAAAATGGGATATGCAATTAAGTCTTCTAAATATTTCTATTTATGTAGGCAGCCATTCTCTCTGGGACCATATTCTCTTGGAGCACAGCATATCAGTTGATGGAGGGAGACGTTTTCTCTTTTGCAGATTTCTTTTCTTCTGATACCCTTTTGTCTGACACCTCCTGTACCTTCCCCCCGCCAAATAATGACAGCAAATGTGCAGATTATTTTCATTTATTTAATATATTTATATTTCTCTTTATATGCCAAAGCATCTCAAAGCAGTTTGCAATAAAAGATCTGAATATCA